CATAAACTATATATATATATATATATATATATATATATAGTTTATGTAGCCCCCCCAATATGGTGGTTTTTGAAATGACCTCTGAATAGGAAAGTCAAATTTGGAGAAGCCACACGCAGAGAGATGGAGGAGAGCTGAGCGGACAGCCTGTGGGAGGAAGGTATGTGTCCAGGTAGGCAGAAGATGACTGTCACGTGGCTGAAGATGAAAAAAATCACAACTGGTTTGCAGAGGAAGTGCATCAAACGCACAAGCGGCGGGACACTAAAAAGGAAACATGAGTGCAGGAAGGAGGGGAGACGACACAGCGTGGGAGGAAAGAAGGGGAGAGTAGGGGATGAATAAACAAAGTAAATAAGATTGCAGGGTGGAGGGTGGAGGCGGTTGCTATGGTGACTAAGAAAAGCTCCAGGAGGAAGCGACCTGTTTCTCCTTCCTTTTGTCTATTTTCATCACACAACACAAAGGAGCAGCTACCACACAGGAGCACATAGCACACACACACACACACACACACACACCAACTCACTGCTATCTTTAACACTCCATCCAGTGTTTTCCTTTCCTCCGTTCTGCCTCTTCTCTGTAGCGAATGAGCTGACCTGACAGTGCTCCTCCTCTGCTCTGAGTGCCGTGAGTCTCTCCATCTAAATTATTTAAAAGCTGGGACCCCCACAAGTGCTTGTCTTCACCTACCGCCCCCTCATGCTCCTTCTTGCTTCTCTTTTCCTCTGTCCCTTCCTGTCCTGCTGTCATTCTGTCTTGGACTGGCTGCATTTTTGCTTTTCAGCATCACATGTGGGAGTCACAACATATAAATCTGTGAATCATTAATGGGTAATGGAGTCAGACAAACAAAGGAAAGAAGTGATAAAATCTTTCTGCATAGGTTTGGTGTATAGTTGGTCATAATCTAATTAAAAAAATTAGTCATTCAAGCAAAATTGTACTGATTTTTTTGCTGAAACAATCACAAGCTGAGGCATTGTTTGTAAGAACAAGCATGTTTCTGTAAAGGTCACTCAACAACTGAACAGATCTTTACCCTATGGTTGATTTAGGAAAAGTATATTCAACTCAATTCTGTTTATTTCTATAGTTCAAGTCACAACAGAAGTCGTCTCAGGGCACTGAACAGAAACATTCATATATATATATAAAATAATAATTTAACATTATTTATCTGAGGAGCGGACTGCTTTGAATTTAAGTCCATCAGAACTTTCATCTTCAGCAAGGTGACTGTGGAAAGGAAAAACTCCCTCATGAGGAAGAAACCTTTAGCAGAACCAGGCTCAGGACAAGCGGCCATCTGCTTCGACCGACTGGGTTTGGGAGGAACAGGAAGGAGGAACAGATACACAATGGCAGGTCAAGAATCACATGTTGAGATAGAAATAGCATCAAATTAAAACTATTCAATTTTAACAACTCACTTAAGGAAATGAGGTCAATTTGTCCTCCAGTAGTCTAAGCTTAAGGCAGCATAACAAGCCAACCCTAACTATAGGATTTATCAAAAAGGAAAGTCTTAAGCCCAGTCTTAAAACTGAACAATGTGTCAACCTCACAGTCAGAAACTGGAAGTTGGTTCCACAAGAGCAGAGCCTGATAACTGAAAGATCTTCCTCTCATTCTGCTTTTGGAAACTCTAGGAACCATAAGTAAGCCTGCAGTCTGAGAGCGAAGTGCTCCGTTAGGAGCCAGGTTGTTGAGGGCTTTGTAAGTTAAAAGATTTTGAATTCAATTCTGGATTTGACAGGGAGCCAATGGAGAGAAGCTAAAACTGGAGAGATATGATCTCTCCTACAAACTCCAGTTAAGACTCTGGCAGCAGCATTTTGGATCAAGTGAAGACTTTTTAAAGAAGTATTTGGACACCCAGATAATAAACCATTGCAATAGTCCAGTTTAGATGTAACAAATGCATGAACCAGTTTTTCTGCATCATTTATTTGGATAAATAAAATTTATTTGGATAAATAAATATTTGGATAAAGCATCTGCATCATTATTCTGCATCTATCATTCATCATAGATAAGATGTTTCTAATTTTAGCGATATTACGCAGGTGGAAGAAGGTGGTTCTAGTAACGTTTTTAATGTGGGGGATAAAAGACATGTCCTGATCAAAAATAATGCCAAGATTTTTAACATTGCCATCTAAGGAGGGCAAAAGACAGAAAGTTTTATTCCTAAAATGCTTGTCCAAAAACCAAAACCTCAGTCTAGTCTGTGTTCAAAAGCAGAAAATTTAGAGTCATCCTGGTTTTTGTTTTTAAGACATGCTTGTAGTCTAAGTAGCTGATTGGATTCATTAGGTTTCATGAACAAATATAACTGTGTATCATCAGCATAACAATGAAAATTTATCCCATGCTGTTTAATAATAACATTACCTAATGGAAGCATATATAAGGTAAAGAATATTAGTCCGAGCATTGAACCCTGAGGAACTCCATGACTAACTTTGGTGTATGTAGAAGATTCATTATTATCATTTACAATTTGGAATCTATCAGATAAATATGATTTAAACCTATTTAGAGTCATTCCTGTAATTCCAATATCATGTTCAAGTTTCTGTAGAAGAATATTGTGATCAACTGTGTCAAAGGCAGCGCTGAGGTCTAACAGGACCAGTGTAGACACCAGTCCGTTGTCAGAGGCCATGAGGATATCATTAATAACTTTCACCAGCGCTGTGTGAGCTCTAAAACCTG